CAAGCAATTCTGCCAAGATGCCATGACACCTCTGGATAAAAATTAAATCATTTGTCAGCACTAAGGGTTTGTTTTAAAAGTCTCCAAGAATGTTTTCACATTCTATTAAGGAGATAGATGGTCATGACAGATAAGATTGGACTCTGATGAAAGGTCTTCGATTTTTGATTAAATAATTTGAAGACATTTCAGGTTGCTTCAGTGAAAATTGTGACTACCGCCCTTTCTTGTTTGTATCCATTTGATAGATTTGCCCTTATAAAATGTTCTTCCATAAATAAGGGTGTGTTCAGAAGTGAGAAGACGGCCATTTTTTTTTTTTAATTGCTCTTTTTACTTTATTTTTTATTTTTTGGCCACACCGCACGGCATGTGGGATCTTATCAGTTCCCTGACCAGGAATCAAACTGGCACCCCCTGCGTTGGAAGGCCAAGTCTTTTTTTTTTTTCTTTTTTAACTTCTTTTTTTTTTTTGGCTGTGTTGGGTCTTTGTTGCTACGTGCTGGCTTTCTCTAGCTGTGGCGAGTGGCAGCTACTCTTCCTTGTGGTGTGCAGAGCATGGGCATTAGGCGCACAGGCTTTAGTAGTTGCAGCACGCAGGCTCAGTAGTTGAGGCACGTGGGCCCTAGAGTGCACGAGCTTCAGTAGTTGTGGCTCGTGGGCTCTAGAGCGCAGGCTCAGTAGTTGTGGCACACGGGCTCAGTTGCTCCACGGCCTGTGAGATCTTCCCAGACCAGGGATTGAACCCGTGTCCCCTGCATCGGCAGGTGGATTCTTAACCACTGCGCCAGCAGGGAAGTCCCGAAGGGGGAGTTTTAGCCACTGGACCACTGGGGAAGTAGAAGATGGCCATTTTAGCATTAATAGTAATGCCTACTCTTTGTGGACTCTTTATTTTCTAGGTTAATTGTATATAAATCACATAAATCTATTTGAAATGCTTCTCTTTACAGAAAAAAAAAATCTACAACAGACCTGGTAAATCAAGAGTCAGTAGATATAGAGCAACCATGACCTATTTACCTTTAATTGTGAACATAAAGGGAAAACTTTTGCAATAGCAACAAGCAAATGTTCTGTCAACAAATGTAGCCCATCTTGGGAGGAAAGGATCTCATCTGGTCTCCTGACAGGAAGTGAGCAATACCACAGTTTTATTACCACGTGCTCAGGCAGGGTATGTCAGTAGTTACAAAATCAGAGGATCTTATCACATCAACTTTGAAATAGTCTACCTTACCCATAATAAAGAGTAAGATTGCTTCCCTGAGCTTAAGCACGTGTACCATTTGATTTAAAAAATATTATTTTGAATATTTCAAGGCATTGGCTGGGCACTCCAGCTTGTATGAGGGACACTAACTCCAGAGTGTTATGCTTCCAAATGGGATAAAACTGTGCATTAAGGTAGGGATCGTGTGAACCAATCTATTATTTGTGGCTCCCCTCACAGAACAATCTATTCCTCTTCACTGAAAACCCGTTAAGGCTTTCCTTTGCAATACTTATTAGCTTTCTAAGTAAAATTAAATTAAGAGTTTGCTACAGCAAGCATCATATGAGGTCTTTAGTGGATGCCAATTATCCTCTTCATGCCTTCTGAATTAAGAGAGGAAATAATTTTACACACAGAAGCACACCCTATGCTGATGTTTGGTTCTCAGAAACTTGATACCACCATTACTTAGAAAGAACAGTCAGTCAGAAACCCAAGTGAGGCAGAAAGCAATAAACATGGTCTGCTCAACTACTTGTAGGGTAGAATGGGGGCTAATCCCATGTCTTTCTAAGGTTGAAGAGAAGTTTCTTCTTTCAGACCAGTTGGTTAACTTTGGCTAGAAGTTTTATGTTAAAGAATATTTAGATACCATGCCATGCTGGCATTAAAATACACAGAGTTTAGGATATAGTCAAATTACCATGAGTAAAATCATCCCAAACACTCAAACTTTGAAGATGGTGCATTATCTGAGCCCGAGGTGGGAAAGCAGTGTCCCCTTACCTTTTAAAGTCCTTTGTGTGCCATGTGGTTTGGAACAGTTGGGCTTGCTGTTCACGGCTATTTGAAGGTCTTTTCTTCCATGAGCTTGCTAGTGAACATAATGGAGGTTTCTCTCTACTTCTTGCCTCCGAGAAGTATACATAAGTCTTCCCACATTGTGAACAAGATTTTTTTGCTTAAAAAGGAACCTTTGAATCCCAGTCCTTTTGTCAGAAAATGGAGAGGCTCTTGCAGCTATAAAAGAGTAAAACACTTTCATCATTCACAGGTGGCAGAAATGGAAGGTTAAAAATGAGATAGTCCCATTGTGTTAATAAAACAAGGCCAAACAAAAGTGATTGCTTGGCTGGGTGACTTTTTTCCCACTTAAGATGAATCACTCAGTTCGTTTAGTATATAGCCATCCAGTTTAGAAAAAATATTAAAAGTGTATCTATAAAAACAACGACTTGAAAAAAACAAAACAAAACAACTGCCTGGAAAAGTTATTTTAGGAGTTACAGTGGAAAACTAGAATTCATACTATTTTATGCGGTAAAGTTTTTCCAGTGTTTAGTTTGATTTTGTTTGGTCAGAAGTAAACATTTAACTGGATTATACAATTTTACCATATCTCTGTGGTAGAAGAAAGAAATATATAAAATATACTTGTGAATACACCCTGTAGGCTACATAGAATACAGCAACTACTTTCTGATTCCTCTGCTTTTTTTTCTCCTCAATGTTGTATATATTTTCCTTAAGGTCTTTAAAGGGTAAATATTTTTCATAGTTCTCTGAAGTTTAACACTCCACAAGGATTTACTCTGAGTCACTGATTAATCTAGGGCATTTCAAATCCCCTTAAATAAATCTGTTTATATTTGTTTCAAAATCAAAACAGTAAAACATTTCATAGGGTATGTTATAAACACTATTTATAACCAGCATCAATTAGACATGATGAGGTACTTATGAGTTCCTGCGAAATTACGCCATTATCTTGTATAAATGTCGAAAAATTAATTTATCCTTTTCTCACCATCGTCTGTTCTGGCCTTTCATAAATAAGAAAGAATGAATTAATTTCTGTCATAAAGTGTTAGCTTTTGTTAGATGAGCTTGTGTGAAGACTTAACATTGCGTGCAGCATAGCAAAGATAGAACATTAGAAATTAGCTCAAGTTCTCCTTAACCCAGGCCAAAGTCTCCAACAGAAAGAAATTTTCATACTCGGTTAGCATCTAGCAGGGCTCACAGAGATTTCTGGAAGAGCAAATTCCAAACTGCACGCGCAGGTGAAGGGATCTTGCACATTGGGGATTGCTTTCACCTCTTCCAACCTGGTATAGAGAAAGTGCTAATAAGTGAGTTTCTGTTGGGTGAATGGAGTGTTTTTGAGCATCTGCCCCAGGAGTTCTGATCCTTTTGGTTTGCCTTGGGAACCCACAATTAAAGATAAACTAATTAAAGATAGCCATACTCACGTGTTATCATTCAAGCTTTACCATTAGGATATGAGCTTCTCTGCCTAGGAAGAAGAGTTTCGAAATAAGCTACATAAGCTTGGCTGTAGTGCATATGTGGATGTTAATGTTGAATACATAAAGATCTCATCAAAAGCACATGGACTTACTCTGTAGAATCTAGAGAAGAGAGAGCAGACCTTTCGCTCTTCCCTGGGGAATTGACAGACCAAATGACCTGCCTGTTATTCTATTCTGTAGAACATACTAAGTCTTCTTACCACTTTTTAGCATCGTTAGGTACTGTTTTGTTGTGAAAAATCTCAGTTTCAACCCAGCCTTTTCTGTTCTAATATAAACAGACAATAAACAGATTTGTTTATTCGAATATGAGCATTTACCTTTTTTTCTGGATCTATAGCCCCGTATTCCTAACCAGACTAACAGAATTTTTCTTTTGGGCCCTCAAAAATTACCTTGGTTGTGTGAGATTTTATTTCTAGGCTTTCAACTTGTTTTCAGATTACTCCATTCTACACAATTTAGCTATGTTCATATGTCTTTTCAGAATGTAGTTAAGTGCTTAATAAATTACTTCTTTACCTGCTGACCCCTTTTGCATTAAAATACTACAGAAATCCGATAACGGCAAATGAGGCTATGAGCGGAGGGAAGAGGTGATGCCTTAAAGAAAAGCTCTTTCCTTAAATGTGAATCCTGGAGTTAGACATCTTTCTCCCTAGTCGGTGGCTAAGAAGTAGAAAGAAAAGAATGAACAGCAAGATAAACATGGGGTAAAGAGCTCGCCCTGGTACACACAGCACCATGGGCCTGTAGATACCACATAATAAAATGGGTCTCCTTGGAAGGTTGGCTTGGCTTAGAAAGTGCTTTATTATCATGAAAAAAAAGTCTGCTGCTGCTTGGGCTAACATCTCCATTCCCAATAACCTCAAAACCAAAGAGTGTTCAAGGCAACGTTAACCAAGCCTTTTTTTTTTTTTTTTTTTTTTTGCGTACCCTGAGGCTTGCGGGATCTTAGTTCCCCCACCAGGGATCGGACCTGGGCCCTGGCAGTGAAAGCGCCAAGTCCTAACCAGTGGACCGCCAGGGAATTTCCACCCATGGCTTTTTTAGAGCCTCTGGAAGAAAGAACCCTACCCTTCAGATCTCGTTATTAACGAGAACCAGTAATTTTCTGTGTCAGCGTTGCCATTTAGGTAGCACGTATTTTAACTGACACTGTCCTGGTTTATCCTGTTTCCGTGTGTTTAAACGATTTATCTCCAAACTTTCGAGTAGCTGGTCACAGAGCACCGAGCTGATCTCCCTGTGCTATGCGGCTGCTTCCCACTAGCCATCTGTGGGATAGGGAGGGTGGGAGGGAGATGCAAGACGGAGGAGATATGGGGATACGGGGATACATGTATACGTCTAGCTGATTCACTTTGTTATACAGCAGAAACTAACACACCATTGTAAAGCAATTATACTCCAATGAAGATGTTAAAAAAAATGGGATGGACAGTGACGGTCACACTTGGGTGTTGCAGATCCTGTGAAGCCACCTGGCAGCTCCTTACAAGCACCGGCTGATTTACCACTGGCGATAAATACAGCACCACCATCCACCCAGGTGGATGCCTCCTCTGCCGCTCCACCTCCTCCATATCAGCTAATTAGCCTTCCACCACACCTGGAAACCCTTGGCATCCAGGAGGATCCTCAAGACTACCTCTTGCTAATCAACTGTCAGAGCAAGAAGCCTGAACCCACCAGGTAAATCACCTGTGTCTCTGTGCGTGTACGTGCATACCCTTAGGCATCTTACCTTTAAACTTTTTAAAGCCTGATTTGAAGGCTTAAAAGTAACCATCTGTAGAAGCTCATCTTTTAGGCTTATAATTCAGGTTGATGTTCCTCCACGAATGATTTCCGATATTCAGGAGATTTTATTGGAGAAGCACATTGTCTATCATTTTTGGCAAAGAACACTTGCGCCTTCATGGCTCCTTTGGAAATCTGTCTCCTGTGTCTTAGTCCTTGTTACAGGTTCACAGTGTTACTTGCTTAACAGATTTCACTGATTTATATATAAATGGTGATCTTGCTCCATTTCTTATGTGATTGTAAACCAGCCAAGGGTCATCTTTTGTTTCTGAAGAAGGAGAGGAATACCTACTGCTAGAAGATTTTGAAAGCAAAACGATTCCATTGCAGTGAGTGTGTTGTGGTTGCTTTGGATCTGTGTGAGAAATTAATCATACGGGTAAAATCCCACTATAGCAAATCCTATGGAATACACAAACCAGATGTTAGTGAAATTTGATGAAATCAAATATACGGCTAAAAACTTTGAAACTTTCAAATCTTCGCGCGTAGCAGTGAAGCAGCGCTCACCACAGGCCTTGACTGCAGGTATTTAAGTAGAATGAAGTATATGGATTTCAGTACTTGACCAAAGATACCGTAAAACTTCCCCGAATCCTTGGTTTCCCTGTCATCTTGATCTCTGCTCCCATACCCCTCTTTTCTTCCAAGCTATGAGATATTTTAATTTAATCATTCTTCTCATTTGATGTTGAATCATTGGAAGACTGGAGGTAACGGTGAGAACTGAGCCAGAACTTGATGATCACAAGGCCTGTCATACCGTTAATAGCTATGTGACAACTAGTGATATTGGGTATATTTATGATCTTAATTTGCAATATTAAGGAGGGAGGTGAATTGCATTGAAATATAAAAGATTTTTTTTAAACAGGGATATTAGATTCAAGCATTATTTTTATGAAAAGGATTTTTTCATGTCAAAAGTGACTGTTACTGGGCTAAAGGATCATACAAAACCCTTGTTCAAAAATTTTTATATAGAATTTGTTAAGATCCACAGATTAGTTTCTGTGAAGCGTTCCCTGAGATAGTGGAAATAGCTCACAAATCTTCCAAAGATGAGTTTCTATATATTTGTTGTAATGGGATTTTACCTGTAAAAGTTAAAAAAAAAAAAAAAAAGGAAAAATTATAAATCAACACTGGTTAATATCAAATTCTAACTTGATTTTTGCTTGTTTGCTGTGAGAATTTAAAATTATACACTCGCAACATTGTTGCATATGCTACTAATAACTAAGATTTTATTTTAGGGAGCTCCACAATTATTTTTCCATCTCAGCTTTTCAAAAGCCAACAGCTAAGTGACAGTTTTCAGTACACTTTCTTTTTATATAGTGTCTTTCATTGATCTCATTGGTATCATAACTTTCCTACTGTAGTAGAAATTATGCTCAAAATCATTGCTCAGATATATTTTGTATCTGTATTTTGCAAAAGTGACAGTTAAATAGCAAATATTTGTGAAGTACTCACTGAGGGCCCACTGTTTCGCTAGGTGCTGTGAAGGTACAAACTAAGTACATAAGATAAAGCCCCCTTAGATTCAGTCACCTTCAGAGTTTAACGGTAAAGCTTGTGAAGGAATCAAAACATGCAAGCATGAAGTGCTTATAGATGAAGGTAAGATGTGAGCATTGCCTTGCAAACTCCCGTTCATCCTGCAACACTCAGCTCAGACATCTGCTCCTCTAAGGAGGCATTCCACTAAACTCCCAGGCTGGATTAAATGCCTCTCTGGGTTTTCAGAGAATCCTGGTTGTACCTCTATGTCTCTGTTTTATTGGGTTGGCCAAAAAGTACCTTCAGTTTTTTAAGTAAAAATAAAAGACACATCTTTCATTTTCACCAAGAGCTTTATTGAACAACATATTCACCCTTTTGTTCCACTGTCTTCTGCCATTTTTCAGGCAACTTCATAATTCCATCTTCCCAAAACTTTTTATCTTTTTGAGCAAAGAACTATTCCAGGTGCCTTTTACAGTCTTCCAGGGAATTGAAATTTTTTCCTTTAAGAGAATTTTGTAAACACCGAAATAAATGGAAATCCGAAGGTGCAATGTCTGGTGAACACGGCGGATGAGTCAGAACTTCCCAGCCAAGCCGTAACAGTTTTTGCCTGGTCATCAAAGAAACATGCAGTCTTGCGTTATCCTGATGGAAGATTATGCGTTTTCTGTTGACTAATTCTGGACGCTTTTCATCAAGTGCTGCTTTCAGTTGGTCTAATTGGGAGCAGTACTAGCAGTACTTGTTGGAATTAATCGTGTGGTTTTCCGGAAGGAGCTCATAACAGAGGACTTCCTTCCAATCCCACCATATACACAACATCACCTTCTTTGCATGAATACTGGCCTTTGGTGTGCTTGGTGGTGGTTCATTTCGCTTGCCCCACGCTCTCTACCGTTTCACATTATTGTACAGTATCCACTTTTCATCACCCGTCACAATTTGTTTTAAAAACGGAACGTATTCATTACGTTTAAGTAGAGAATCGCATGTGGAAATAGGTCAAGAAGGTTTTCTACACTTAATTTATGTGGAATCCAGACCTCAAAGCGATTAAAACATAACCAAGCTGGTACAAATGATTTTCAACGCTTGATTTGGATATTTTGAGTACGTCAGCTATCTCCCACGTGGTATAACGTTGATTGCTCTCAGTTAATGTCTCGATTTGATCGCTCTCAACTTCAACTGGTCTACCTGACTGTGGAGCATAGCCCAGTGAGAAATCTCCAGCACAAAACTTCGCAAACCACTTTCAACACATTCGATCAGTCATAGCACCTCTCCATATACTACACTGACTACCTCTCCATATACTACAACTGAAACTGCGTTTCAGTTGCATTTTTACCTTTCTTGAAATAATAAAGCATAATATGCTGAAAACGTTGCTTTTTCCTTCCATTTTCAATAGTAAAATGGCTACAGAAAAGTTCACCAATTTTGATGTCTTTTTTTTTTAAATGCACGCTGATATGACAGCTGTCACATACAATCTAACAAAACTGTTTCAAACGAAGTTAAAGACAACTAAGTGCTACTAGAACCATCTTATGGAAAAAACGGAACGAACCTTTTGGCCAGCCCAGTATCACAGAATTGGAAATAGCTTGATAATTTTATGTATTCTCCACTACACTCTAAGCTAGTCAAAGACAGGGAACTTAGTACTCATTGTACTTCTAGCTTCTTCTTAACTTCACGTTTGAATTAAATCAAGTACAAATTTTAGAATATGTGTTAGAAATTCCTAGAAAGGTCAGTGCAAGTGTTTTTGAGAGGGAGGGTGAGATGCCTCATAGGAGGAGTAGCCTCAGTGCCAAGGGGAGTTGTTTGTGGGCTTTTTTGTAGTTCCTCCAGCCTGTAGGAACCGTTAAAGGGATTTTCTCTGAATAGGTGAGTGACCTGAAAACCATGTTTTGGAAATATTGATCTTCTAGCAGTCCTGGTCCTATGGATGGTACGATAGATTGGAAGAGGGAGAAACTAGAGGAAAGAAGTTTGCTGAGGGAGGGTTCCGTGTTGTAGATCTCAGCAGAGATACGGACCTGAACTTGGGGTGGTGACAGCGGGAACAGAGTGGGGGAATAGGCGCTTGGCTAGAAAGAAGGACTTTGTGCCCAAGTGATGGTGGTGATCAAAGAGAATGAATCAAAGTTGATCGGATTTTGAGTTTAGAGAATCTGGGATAAAGACATTTTTCATGGCAAGTCAGAAAGGACCACCAATTTGAGAAGTAAGTTGAGTTTAGTTTGGTACACATGAGCAAGGGAACACTGGGATAACCAAGTAGCAATACGTTTGAACCGTTTGTAAATACAGGACTCGGAGTTTGGTGAGAAGATAGCAGTTGTCAGCATTCAGTAGAAGGGGAAGTTACGGGAAAGGAGGATTTTTTAATGGTGTGTGCTGTAAAGGACTTAGAGGACTGATTTCTGTTGGCCATTTCCGGGTTGGAGAGACAGGAAGAAAGAGGCACTCAGTGAAACAAGGGCATAATCAGTGAGGAAGAAGGAAAGTCAGGATATTGCAATAAAGGGCTTCTGATACCCGCGGGGGAGAGTTTCAGTGAATAAATGCAATACACGGCGCCAGATGTTACCAAGAAATCAGAGTGATGTGCCCTTAAAAAAAAAACTATCACAAGTTATTTGTTTTAAATATTGAGTTTAAATTCCTACAGGACTTTGGACAACACACATAGGTAGTTAAGGTATCTTGTTTAGCATTAAGGGAGGACCAGCGTTCGGGTATTGGTAGCTTCATTTTGACTTATTCCCAAATTTCGTGATACCACAAAACACAGAGATCAAAAATGTGCCCAAAGCATAAAATACACTCTAATGAGATTTCTCAAGGTGAATTATTGTTTGGAGTTGGCTAACTCCTTGCTTTGTATTTTGATTCTTTTCGTAGTATTGGCTAAATATTTGTTAAAGAAAATAAATAGAAAAGAAGATACCCAAAACCTATCAAGTTGCCACCTCCTTGTAGATCACATTGAATTTATTCAATACCAGGTAATCATTAGACTTTTCATTTATCAGAACAACAGAGTTGCCACAGGTGGGCTAAAGAGCAATGGATCACCTTGATAAACTGTTGGCACGAGGTTTTTGCATGCTTTTCAGAGGAAGTGCTTTTCCTGGTGTCTTGTGCCTTAATCATTTACCTTCCTCCAAGTTTTATACCTTTCTAATTACAGTGCTTCAGGGATTGTGGTTTTACGTGTGGACTTACTAGGTGGAGTTGGGGGGCGTGGACAGGTACAGAACAAGATTAGGAAGAATGCTTTTGGTTTTGTGGTGGCGGTCGTGTTATCTGGTGTATAATCATAAAAACTCAGGAACATTCGTGCTTTCAATCAGATGGGTCACACACACCAAAAACTTGAATGAAACAACCGTGGAGTTTGATTGCTAAGCTAGAAATATATTTATTAAAATGTAGTCTTCGGTCTTCACCGTGTTTTCTGTCATTAACAATTTTTATTTAGAACGCATGCTGATTCTGCAAAATCCACCCCTTCGGAGACAGACTGCAATGATAACGTCCCTTCTCATAAAGATCCTGCTTCCTCCCAGAGCAAACATGGAGTGAATGGCTTTTTCCAGCAGCAGATGTTGTATGACTCTCCACCGCCTCGGGCTGCATCCATTTCCGTAGACTCCAGCCTTTATAACCTGCCCAGAAGTCACTCCCATGACGTCTTACCAAAGGTGTCTCCTTCAAGTACCGAAGCCGACGGAGAGCTCTATGTTTTTAATACCCCATCCGGGACCTCGAGTGTAGAGCCTCAAATGAGGCATGTATCTATTAGTTATGACATTCCTCCAACACCTGGTAATACTTATCAGATTCCACGAACATTTCCAGAAGGAACCTTGGGGCAGACGTCAAAGCTAGACACTATTCCAGATATTCCTCCACCTCGGCCACCGAAACCGCATCCGGCTCATGACCGATCTCCTGTGGACACGTGTAGCATCACACGCACAGCCTCTGACACTGACAGTAGTTACTGTATCCCGACAGCAGGGGTGCCACCATCCCGTAGTAATACCATTTCCACTGTGGATTTGAACAAATTGCGAAAAGGTCAGCTCCAGTTGGCTTTTCCTGGCTTAGAGGTTAATGATAGAAAATCTCTTTTTCTGAGTATTTGTTCTTGGACGCTTAGTGTGACATTAAATGGCAGTCCCTTTTTCCTTCAGCGCTGCAGTTACCCACTCGGGTAGCGAAGCTGTCAGAGCCTCAGTAGATCCCAGGAGGTGTGTTTGTGCAGGCAGCGTGTGCCTGTGTACATGTTGTGGTGGAAGGGAGAAAGACGAGGAGATTTTCATCCCTAAGAAGTATGGCCTTAGTAATACTTCCCTGCCTCAGGGAGTGTGCACCACTCTCTCTCACTTCCTCTACATCCTGGGTGAGCAGACCCGATGGGGAAGAGGCACAGGAAATGGACCAGCCGCAAAGCCTTTCCCAGTCATACCCTTTCCCGTATTTGTGTCCTATTATGGCCGCTTCTGTGTCACATCTGTTGGGCTCTGTTTCCTTCCTTCCCAGATCAACGGTTTTTACGTTATGTCTACCAGGTGATATTCAGTTGCAATCAGGTCATTCTGCTTTTTGTTTGTTTGATTTTATTTATTTTTAAAGCTCTGAATCTTCTCTCCCCTTACCCCTTAGCCACTTCACTGACTCCTGTACCATCTTCCTAGAGCCTGCCAAAAGTTACAGACTTTGAGAGGAGAAAAATTGAGTCTGGGTTAGCCTCTGAGGGTCCTAAAGTCCTGAAAATAAAAAGCCCAAGTTTAAAAGGCACCCACCCTAAAAACTACATCTGACACTTCTGGATTTTGTGGTAGAGTTATCCAGCTGTTCTAAAGAAGTTAAAGATTTGATGCCTTGTGGATGGTACTTACGTCAATACTTATTTAGCCATTCAACACCAATTTCTAACTTCTTTCTCAAAATGGATGTAATGTATCTTGAGGTGGTTATAAGTTAGTGAGATATGTTATACCCAAGGGTGCAAAAGATAAGAAAACAGAAGTATTTCTTTTCTCCATCTTTAAATAACCCATCTCACTGTCATAATCAAATACTGGTACTGGGGCTTCCCTGCTGGCGCAGTGGTTGAGAGTCCGCCTGCCGATGCAGGGGACACGGGTTCATGCCCTGGTCCGGGAGGATCCCACATGCCACGGAGCGGCTGGGCCTGTGAGTCATGGCCGCTGAGCCTGCGCGTCTGGAGCCTGTGCTCCGCAGCGGGAGAGGCCACAACAGTGAGAGGCCTGTGTACCGCAAAAAAAAAAAAAAAAATAGTGGTACTGGTTAGCATATGAATAAATGTCTGCATTTTCTAGTGGTTTAATGTTTCAATTCAAGATGTTATTCTGTGAGCATCCTTTTTAAGATCTGTGTGTGTGCATGCATGCATATATGAAAAGAGAGAGAGAGAGAAGGTCATTCCTGATTACCCTGGGAACTGGCAAAGATGGGGAGAAATATTGATAGTTTGTTCTCTGTTTTAGATGCTAGTTCTCAAGACTGCTATGATATTCCACGAACATTTCCAACTGATAGATCTAGTTCACTTGAAGGCTTCCACAACCACTTTGTAAGTATAATTGACCTTGGCATCATCAAGTGTATTTCGTTGTCAAAACCTTCACACTTAGGACCGTGAGACTAAATGAGATCCTGAAATAAAAGTCCCTTCAGATCCACGTGAATAGGCATAACTTACAACTGTGTTTTCCTGTTTGACAGTAGTTCTTCTTTATTAAAAGAAATGTATGTGTGTTTTAGAAAATCAAAAACGTATTGACAGTGGGGAGTGTATCAAGCGAAGAACTGGATGAAAATTATGTCCCCATGAATCCCAACTCTCCTCCACGACAACATTCCAGCAGTTTCACGGAACCAATTCAGGAAGCAAATTATGTGCCAATGACTCCGGGGACATTTGATTTTTCTTCATTTGGAATGCAAGTGCCTCCTCCCGCTCATATGGGCTTCAGGTCCAGCCCAAAGACCCCTCCTAGAAGGCCAGTTCCTGTTGCAGACTGTGAACCACCCCCCGTGGATCGGAACCTCAAGCCAGACAGAAAAGGTAAGGAGAGCGTGGCATGGTAAAAGGGCCGGGGGTTGCCAGTGGAGATCTGCATTTAACTGTCATTATATCCAAAACAGAATCGGGACTAGAAATTCAGAAGTATTTCATAGTACCTAAGTTACCAGCTTGTTTAAGTAAAGTAGTAGTGCTGTTTATAGATTAATAATTATTATGTCATATGTTGATGCCCAGGTGAGATTTTTTAAGACTCCCATGTCTGGAGCAGAGGTTACAAACTAAAATATTCACAAGGATTGGCAAGCAACAGGAGATAATTAGGAGAAACTGGAATGCCCTTGGCCCAGCCAAATGGAGTCACTAACCTACTGCCTGGCTACAATCCTTTGTGGACTTGTGACACTAACATGGGCCCCCTAGAGGAAAATCTTCTGATTATCAAAAGAAGTCAAAAATGTGGGGGGTTATATGTATTTTCTTTTGATTTTTAAGTTCTACCAGCTAGTTTATTTAAAAAAAAACAAAACCTTGCAGACTGTACCACAGACTTCTACAAGCTAGATATGGTCTTTGGCTGGTCTTTTGTAACCTCTCCTCCAGAGTATTTAATATCAAATCAGACTTGAGATTATTAGTGCACTTGCCATGACTCTTTAAGAACAGTAAGGTTGCTTGTATACTCTTTGCATTCTGTGCATATAACAACTTTTTAAAAATGATTCTGCCTTTGCTGGGGTGTAAACAAATGCTTCTAGTCTATTCTTTCATACTGGCCTTCATAAGTAACATTAAATTCTAAGGTGGCATGGTTGGTTAAGAACTCAGTGTAAAAGAAACTTTTCAGCCAAACTGGTAATATGTACCCAAGTTTTTGAAATTTGGGTTCAAGTGGTTAAACCCCAGACAGCCAGCTGTGTTGCCGCAGGCTGCAAGTGTAATTGAATCTCGACAACCAAGTAAGTTAGTGTATTGGCTGTGAGATGCGTGGCACAATTTCTGGGGAATTCAGCATATTTGAAGAGTCTGGTATGCTCTATGTAGCTGTTTTTAAAAAGCATGTAATGTTTGTGTCAATTTCTCATTAACCTGGGCTTGGATCATTAATAGTCATTCTAATTAAGTTCCCAGTGTGGGGGACAGAGACTGAGACTCAGAGTATCTTAAGAAAATGAGTTTTGTTTTGTTTTGCTTTTAAGAAAGTAAATGAAAAGAGAACGTTATCGGCAACTGAGACACTCCTAGGAGGCTGTCACTTTGTCCTGCTCTCCCTGCATTTCTGTCCTCTGGAAACTCTTTGATCCTGCTTTGCTCTCCCTCACATTCTTTCCTTCTTTCCTGTTTTCTTTTACGCTGCATCCTCTACTTTACGGCTTTCTGCTGTCAGAGAGCTTTGGCCTCTGATGCCCCTGCGTGGCCTCGATTCCGCCCCGTGCCTCCTTTTTATGGGCCCTCGCAGCTTCCACACCTGCTGCTAATTGCCTTGTTCATTATTGACTCACTCCAGATCGCTCATCGAAAGTTTGATTGGTCTCGTTTGTCCACATCAGGCCACAAGATAGATTGTAGATTGCAGGCGGGCCTACATGCTGGCTGCTGTTGGGTCAAGGGCTCACCTTTGCTCGGACAGCTGGAAGGATGGTTGCACCCCCAGTCACCCCAGAGGCCCCAGCAGCAGAGCCATGATGAGGGCTGGCTATTTTAGAAACAGTGTGAGCATCCCAGGCTTTTTAGGTGATAACTTTTCCTTTTGTTTCTCTTGGTCCTCATTTGTTTTTAAATCTATTTAGACATCCCTCGTCATTTTCTTCTTTGCATACAACACACAAAAGTATGTTTGGACATGTATAGATTTATAATTGAGCCCACAGAGGGTGGAAGGATTAAGATACAAGTGCCAGGAAGTCCGTGAAACATCGAAACCCTCATTTTAATGCTAAACTGGTTCTCTCCTTCTTTTCCTGTAATTAGCACATGTTGGCAGCAGATTGCTAGTTTTTGACACCAAATGTAACCGTTTTATATCTTGAGGTCCCCACATAAATATGGTCATGGTGTGCTGTGGGTGATGCATGGAGCTCTGAGTCCTTGCGGGTTTGCTCCCCTGCCTCTCCTTCCTCCCCTCAGGATCTGCTTAACACAATTTGAAAATTCCCAGTATATTTCACAGTTAATGGTTTCACGTGGTAAGCGCAATGCAGAATCAGAAAAGGTCCCTATTTACATGTTGGAAAGTTTTAGGATCGTAATGAAATGCTTTTAGTATCATCTAGGTCTGACAGAGTTCACGTACCCCCATATTGTAGTATATGTTATTTTACATAGGCAGCATAATAAAATGGCATGTGTATTATACATCATATATATTGCATATATGTGTAATTAAACCTCCCTATGTAAATATATAGTGAAAGTACTATATATTCTAGTACATGAGAGACTGTCCTAGTCCTCTAAACCAACCAATGGTGACCCTACTGTAGAACAGAACAAAGTAGATTCCTTGGTTACTTCTGGAGATTCTGTTTAGTCTTTAAAAAATTAACTAAGCTATTGAAAGACAATCTTGAGCTCATGGGCCAGATTACTGATTTGGTATCATTGCTTAGATACAAAATGAACTGAAAAAGCACCCAGAATAAAATTTCCACATAGTTTTTGGCAAATTCAAGGAGAATAATAGGTTTAGCAAAACAGTAAAGAAGTAACTTAAAGCCTTAGTTATAAAAAAAAAAAAGGGGGGGTGGGTTGCTTTTCTTATTATTACTCTACTTTTTAAAATAAATATGATACAAGAGAAGGCATGAGAAAGTATCTAATATTGCAAGGCAAACTTTGTCAAAAACCCAAATTCAGATCTTGGAGCAAAGTTTATCCATAAAAACTTAAACCGTAAAACAGATGTCTTATTTCGTCCTGAAATTCTTCTCATGGTGCATAGCATCCGATGAGTCTGTTTTCATTTCAAATTTTGTGACATCAGATACATGAGTCTGTCTATTATTCTAGTATCTCTTATTAACTAAACCTCATAATAAGCAAACCTTATTTTATAAAATATGGCTTGATTAGTTCTAAAACTCAATATAACTAACTCAACACCCAGTATAACTGGTTTCTGTGATCGTCTTCTTGGGAAGGGTCTACAATAAATGAGTGGCATTCTAGTCTTGTTTATACCCCCAATTATAGATGTCAGCTGCTGTAGTTAGTAGTACGCATGAGTTTTTCAAATACTTCTGAGTAATTGAAGCTGCAGAAATACGTGCATGTTTTAAACACTTACATTCAATGTATTTTCATGGACACTTTACCCAATCACCCAACTGTGGTAGCTGTATTTTCACCCACACTATTTCTGTCACAATAGTATTTGTCCTGAACCGTATCTTGTGTATATTAACAGAGGAGAAAATCATAATTTACATGTACTGTGTTAAATATTAGGAAAGCAGATGAGTCATTGGAAATGCAGGACAAATTCTGTTTTGATTACTTCAACTGAAACTTTTATATTTTAATGGAAAAGCAACTTTGTAAAGTTTGGGAAATTTCTATAAGATACTGTGATTTCTCTTAAAGTAAGTCCTTACATAAATCTACCAGATTTCATCTGTGCATTTAACTGGGCCCATTCACTCTCTTTCTAACGTGATATAGCAGCTGTTCAAGCCTCAGATATACTGTCTTTGTATTTTGTTTTGTTTGGCCTTGTCCATTCATGGCTTTCTGCAGTAGATCTGACCATTAGTTATTGTATTGGTTTTAAAAAAGCAGTGTGAGGTTACTTCTGGTGTTTCCGTATGTTCATTTGGTTAAAATATCTTCAGGTCCTGCTGGATCTTCACTTTGCTGTAGGAAGGATCCAGAAGACCAATCGAGGAGCTTCCCTAGATGGATCATTTTGGTATCTTTGCTATAAATATTTGCTCAAGAGAGCTTCTAAAGAAGTTTTTTGAAAGCGATTAAAAATTAACATGCTTTTGGGCTTCCCTGGTGGCGCAGTGGTTGAGAGTCCGCCTGCCGATGTAGGGAACACGGGTTCATGCCCCGGTCCGGGAAGATCCCATATGCCGCGGAGCGGCTGGGCCCGTGAGCCATGGCCGCTGAGCCTGCGCGTCCGGAGCCTGTGACCTGAAACGGGAAAGGCCAAAACAGTGAGAGGCCCGCGTACCCAAAAAAAAAAAAAAAATTAACATGCTTTTGAAAAACTACTTTTATACTATAATAAATGTTTGGAAGATGGATAAATGATACCAGTAAATATAGCTAGATTTTAATAAACAAGTATTAAAGTTTGACAAGTCAGATTTTTGGGTTGGTGGTTACAGTTTAAAGGAAATGAGTACAGAGTGCATTTTTACAGCACAGCCTCTACGTGCGGGTTTTTTTCCCCAAATATTCCTGGCCTTCCAATATAATTATCATTATTATAGTCCCCTTTATACAATGAGACTATTCAAACAAGTGTAAAAGTTTTTCAGTGTGCTACCTTGATTACTCCTTGGAATTAGCAGAGGATAATAATGTTGTGAATTATTTTTCTTCTTTCTTGATTTCTGAGATGCCTACTGGAAGTAGTAGCATCATCTGTGAAACTTCAGATAAGTGAATCATTTAGGCTAAGTTAGACCTATAATGATAGAGAAAATAAATTTTCCACTTTGAGTTGAATTTATATAAGCAATACCTATTAAAATAATAATCGTGTATGGACTTTTCAAAAAGGACTGCATCTGCTTCTTTGAAGCATGACCTCGTGTGATGCCTTGACCATATCTGGAATGATCAACTTTTGAAACAGCATTCAGTTGCTTTTTTTCTTTTTTTTTCCTTCAAAGGCAAACACAAAGTTATGACATTGATCTGATTAAACACCACCATCGGATTAAGCTTTAAGAGAACCGCAGTTCATCAAAACAGATTGAAGGGCCTCCCAGTTATAGGATGTACCCTCTGATAGGTCTGGGGTCTGGAAACCCAAGGAAGGACAGGTGGCTTCTCTAAAGAAGCTCCCATTTAGTGGGAAAGTGGAAAAGTAAACACATTATCATAATTAGCACAGAAGGGGGCTTGTGGTTGAGGTTAGCTCTTCGCCCTGCAGGCTGTCTCCTTTGAGGAGAATCTCAGAGGGTGAGTGGCAATGAAATGATGATAGAGGATCTTCTATCAGAATAAACAGCATACCCAGATCCTTTAAAAAGAGGGGACTGGCTCAGAGTCTTGGGTGGGAGGGAGGAAAGTATGAATGCAGGAACGAATGCCAAATGCCTGGCAGGTGCCAGCTCCTGGGGGTTTTATAATCCATGCTAATGAGTTTGGGCTTTATTCTGAGAACACCATTAAAGGGTTTTATGTAGGCAGGTAACATAATCAGGTCGGCCCCTAGAAAGCTCATTCTAAGATTTAAGGATACCATAGGGGAAAAATGGTATTTTTTAATGCAAAGTGTTATAAAATCACACTTCTTTTCAGCATCTTCTTTAAAGAGTGCTTTGCCCGGCGTTCCAAACCTAGGGTTCTTGACGCCTCGCTTTAGAGATGATCAGACAGGAAGGCATAACAAAAGTCCCTGTCCTGACTCGAAATAGCTGCCTCCACTTGGGGACCTAGAGTGAGTGATTTTTACAAGTTTGGAGGCCACTTGGAGTGTAAGTGGAGGTCATTTAGCCATACAGTGTGAGTTCACTTTCAGAAAAACAAACCAGGTAAGTGCAGTGCACATTAAAAAAAGGAAGCCAGGACTTCAGACTTACAGATTCTTTAATTTTCTTGGATAAATGAAAACAAACGATTGCCATTATAAATAGAAAGTAAAATTGATAAAGGGAAATCAGAGAGAATGTGGAATCTAGAGTAACTCTTAAGAGATCTGCTATGGCAACTGCAGACAGAGGAAACAAAGCAGGTGTGGTGGGTCCCAGAAGATAAATTCCATTTCGAACATGCAGTGTGAAAGCCTACAGAACCTTCATGTGGGGTGACTTTGTAGGTATGCCAGTAAGGATCTTAGGGGAGATCTGAACCAGAGGTTAAGATTTACCAAGTTGTGCTCCTAATGAGGGCGCAGATCACATGATCCAGAGATTGACAGCCCCGGGTGAGATTGTTTTAACCCCTGAGGGTTAAAGCACAATGGGGTGCTCTTTGCTAAAGAAATGCGTCGTGTGGCTTTCTTTGTTCAAACCTAATCTAGCTAAAGCCTCCTTGTAACTGTCTTGGATTTAAAAGCTGAGGCTCAAGTGAGTTATTTAACACTGTTGACTCTTAGAATTTGAGAATCAGTGTATCCCCGGAGTTGGTTCATTTGCTGCCTCTGCTTTAGTCTTATCTCATACCCTTTATTGTGGCACTTAAGTAATTAGAGAAACATTCCAGTATTTGCCTCTAGGCAGCAGAGGAGAAGTACATACACCTTGGACTTTTTTTCCTTTCTCTCCTCATAAGTAATACTGAGCCATCATTTGAGTATCACTTTCATTTCTGTCTGGAACATAAATGTCAAATTGAGCCAGGCAGTGAAAATAACAAAGAAATGAAGCTACCAAAATGCCTGAGCGACTGGGTTCAGTTCAGGGCAACATTTTCACCTTGAGGCGTTTGTCCTAAACTCAGGCTTAAGCTTTGCATGGAGTAGAAAATACATGGAAATTTTATAAATGCACTATAAAAAAATTCACTTAATACGGTATCTTTCTGTGAAGAGTGCCAAGGAGTACCCTTGAGAGTACTTGAGAGAGTTAGGAAATTTTCATGTTTTATAAGCTAGAAAATCACATTTTCCAGAACTTGTAGATTTTGGTCAATAAGGTGCTAGAGATCAGCATTGAATCAGCGAACTCTAATATTATTTTCTATCTAATAGACGTCAACTCAGTTTTGTACATGCCAAGAAAAAGGAGAATTTGGTGCCATTGAGAATGAAGTAGTTTAAATTCCTGATTGAAATGATATTGCTACTCTGGCATCCAGGCTTCCAGTGGGAAAAAGTATGAGGCCAGCTGCTGGGTATTAAACCTGTACTTTTCATAAGGCTTTTCAGCAGTACTAGTATATAACAGAGATTAAACGGAAAAAAAAAAAAAGATGGCAACTGAATTTATACTTTCCAATTCTCAATTTAAAGCTAGACAGTCAGCAGTTCCAGAATCTAGACATCTAATCCTTGCAAAATGGTGTCACGGGGGCAACCACTGAGTGTTCAGGGAAAAGAAATGCTGGTCTTGGTTTTGACTTTGGATTAGCAGACATTGTATCAATAGAACTTCTCTAGAAGGGCGCTTTCAGGTGGTGAAGGAGTAGTCAGATTAAGGTTTTTAAAACACCTCCATCAAGTTAAGAAAGTAGGCCTTGGTACTTTCGTATGAGACACCAGACTTCAAAGAAAAGATGTACTTGCGATCTGAGAGGTTTTATAATTTTTTATTGGATCCAGTTTTCTAAGGCATGTTAGAAGAGTAACTAACATGACACATGTTTTTCCTCTCTTCCTCCAAATAAAGGTAACAACTAACCAAGAAGTTATGCCACTAAAACCCTACCATCTTTTATAACAGTTTGCTTATTACATTGTTGCATGCGGCTTCCGCGTTCCCATGGTATTGAGCATGAATGATATGCATAGCCAGACTGAAATAGTCTCCACAAATGAACTTTTGTTTATGCTTTTGAGATGTAACATGTCTGCTCAGGGCTCTGTTGCTTTTTTACAGAATCCATTTTTTTCCAATTAAAAAAATAACATTATATTAAGAGAGTCTTCTTTTTACCAATTAGGTCAAAGTCCTAAAATTTTAAGACCCAAACCCCATGGTTTAGAGCGAACTGATTCACAAACCATAGGTGACTTTGCTACAAGAAGAAAGGGTATGTACTTTAGCACCGCATGCTGGATGGGGTGTTGGGAATTTATTTATTCTGTGATGTTGTTTCCTTTAAAAGTAAAGGAGAAGAGCCTTAAATACTATTTTGTTGTAAATAAAACTTCCCAGCACGTAATTTCTAAAGTGAATGCTTCCCATAATACACAGCGAGTATATTTGTTATGCCATTAACAGCAGCATGTTAAATATTTGATAACATATGATATTCAGTCTTTTCCTTTTGCATTATTCTTTTAACCTTTTAGACATCAATAGAGTGTTTTCTTTAAGCTTGTGAGATGCTTGTGAGTTCCAGTTGTCTCCTGTATTTATGTATAATGTATATATTCTGTTCTGAGACAATATATAATCATTTCCATGGATTCATTATTTTATGCCATTACTTAGAATTTGACAGCTAAGCAGCTCTTAGCCTCTGTGTTTTAAAAAAAGTGAAAACATCAGAGTTAAAGAAATGCTTGCAAGTGAGCACAGCATTCTGTACATGTCCATTTTAAGTGTATAGGTGAGCAAAATTATTTTAACTCAAACTTAAATCAACGTAGCCTTCAGAAAATCTCATTGAATTTTTTTGTATTTGAGTTGCCAAAAATACTTCGGCATAAACCCCAGAGAATCTACATAATCCTTTAAAATGACTACCTACTTTATAGTTGGAAGGTAATTATAACTTGGTTGATTCAATGTACACATATATGCACAAAGACTAGAGGAGGGATGCCTGGAAAAAATGAAGACTTTAGAGTGGCAGGATGACGTGTAATTAAAATATTTACCTAATATGTTTAAATAGTATCCTAAAATATAATGAATATTAACAAATAATATTGTTGAAGTTCTTTTGCTCATGTCATGAATTTCTGAAAACTGAGTCTTACTTTAAGGGCGAAGAGCTCTGTGGAATATATACTGGCAGAGTAATTAATTGTCCACTGCAATAATGGGGTAAATAAGCAAAGACAACTTATAAATAAAGCTAATAGGAACATTAGCATTTATTTTTACTTAATTTGTTAAAGGATGTTGTTGGTTAAATTAAGCTAAAAATTTGAGGCAGTTGTTAAATTGTGGCCTTTTCTCAGAGCAGAGTTTGAGTATAAAGATATAATTATTGCTTTGTTTTATTTGGTTCCAGACTGGGCCTGAATTAATTTAAAAGATTTGGTTATTAATTCTTTTTGTCAGTTTTTGGTTTTAGCGAAGTTTTGTGTTTATTGCTTCCTAAACATCATTTTATATGTATAGTTGTATAAATGATGCTTCAATGTTGACGACGAGGACTGTTTTTACATAGAAAATTAACTGTCCGTGTTTGAGGATAAAATTAGTGAAAAAAATAAAATAAGGAAATAATGAAAAGTATAAATCAAGTAACTATGAAGGAATTGGGTCACATTACTCTTTCTTGTTCTCATTGTTTATATTCATAAAATATTTACTTAAGAAGCAACATGTTGTAATAATAGAGTTTTATTGAGACTTTCAGTCAACAATCAGGAAACATTATCTGATTTAGCTTTTGCCACTAATTTTTTAGCTGTGTGACCTTGGAAAAATCACGTAACATCAGTGTACTTCTTTTCATGTGTGAAACTAAGCTGGTCCTACGTGTACAGTGGCTATAATGTATAAATAGAGATGTAGAAAGAGGGTCTTGTTTTGTTTTCCAAATTTCTGTATGCTAAAGTCTCTTTTTTTTTTTTTCTCTTTTGTTTCAGTCAAGCCAGCACCTTTAGAAATAAAACCTTTGCCAGAATGGGAAGAATTACAAGCCCCAGTAAGATCTCCCATCACTAGGAGTTTTGCTCGAGAGTAAGTCTTTGTTTAAAATACTCAGCTTGATTGTGCATTATAATGGAGAGTACCTAGAACAGTGGTTCCCAAAGGATGGTCTGGGGAGCCTCCCTTTTTGGGGTTCTGTGAAGTCAAAACTATTTTCATGAATATACCAAGATGTCATTTGCTTTTCCACTCTCCTTCTCTCATGAGTGTACACTGGAGTTTTCCAGAGGTGGCATAATATTGGACGATATCATTGTGACAGCTAATAGTGTATGTATTTGTGTACACTTGTCTTTTTAAATTTTTTTCTATTATAGGTAATGTGGTAAATATCAGTAGATATCACCCATATTAACCAAAGTTCCTTGGGGTTCTCAATAAATTTTAAGAGTGTGAAAGGTTCATGAGGCTAGAAATTTCTGAGAACTACTACTCTGGAAAATACGGTAGTTTCTTGTAGGGATTATTTAATGGAGATTCATTTAAATGTATATGTGGAAATGAAAAGAATGTCTGTAGTTACAAACCTGTGTTGAATGTGTACGTGTGTGAATATATGTGTGTGTGTGTGTATGTGTGTGTGTGTATATATATATATATATATATATATAGTTTTTTTAAATAGTAATTCTTAAATCTTCCTTTTTATATCTGTGTCTTTCTACTTATCCTCCACATCACTAGCAATACTTTTTTCGTTGTTCTGCAGAAGGTACTTTGTTGTTGGTTTTTTTTTAACATCTTTATTGCAGTATAATTGCTTTACAATGGTGTGTTAGTTTCTGCTTTATAACAAAGTGAATCAGTTATACATATACATATATCCCCATATCTCCTCCCTCTTGCATCTCCCTCCCACCCTCCCTATCCCACCCCTCTAGGTGGTCACAAACCACTGAGCTGATCTCCCTGTGCTACGCGGCTGCTTCCCACTAGCTATCTGTTTTACGTTTGGTAGTGTATATATGTCCATGCCACTCTCTCACTTCGTCCCAGCTTACCCTTCCTCCTCCCCGTGTCCTCAAGTCCATGCTCTAGTAGGTCTGTGTCTTTATTCCCGTCTTGCCCCTAGGTTCTTCATGACATTTTTTTTATTTTTTAGATTCCATATATATGTGTTAGCATACAGTATTTGTCTTTCTCTTTCTGACTTACTCACTCTGTATGACAGACTCTAGGTCCATCCACCTCACTACAAATAACTCAATTTCGTTTCTTTTTATGGCTGAGTAATATTCCATTATATATATGTGCCACATCTTCTTTATCCTGCAGAAGGTACTTTGATGCTCAGAAATATCCCTTTACAGAAGCAGACTTGAAGACATAGAGAACAAGCTAGTGGTTACCAGTGGGCGGGGTGGGGGGGGGGCTGGAAATAGGGTGGGGAAGTGGGAGGTACAAACTACCTCCCACTACGAGATAAGTGGGAGCTTATCTTGGGTGTAAGGTAGGCTCAAGGATGTATTGTACAACACGGGGAATAGAGCCAATATTTTGTAATAACCGTAAATGGAAAGTAACCTTTCAGAATTGTGTAAAAAAATCAAAACTTTTTTCAAAAAGAAAATATCCCTTTACAAATAGCTATAAATATTAGTTGTGCATTTGAATGTGTGTGATAAATTGTACAGTAATAAATGCGTACAGTAAATGATTGTAAGCATAAATGTTTCTGGAAGAATGTATACTATCACTCATTTTTACTTTCAAAGCGAATTGAGAAATTTTGGTCAGGATGGCGTTTGTGATGGTCGTGTCTGTAATCAGCTCCTCCAGGTTTCCCATGTCTCCCCGGCCGGATTCAGTGCACAGCACGACTTCAAGCAGTGACTCACATGACAGTGAAGAGAATTACGTTCCCATGAACCCAAACCTGTCCAGTGAAGACTCAGTAAGTAGAATCTTCTCTTAACGTCTCTCTTCCTGAGCAGCCCTTCTGAATCATTCACACTAAACCTTTCTTCCAGTCCATACACCTTACCCTTCCGTCTTTCTTTACTTAAGGAAAAAGGATAAAAGACAACTTTTTAAAAATGCTTTTGGGGGCTTCCCTGGTGGCGCAGTGGTTAAGAATCCGCCTGCCAATGCAGGGGACACAGGTTTGAGCCCTGGTCCGGGAAGATCCCACATGCCGCGGAGCAACTGAGCCCATGCGCCACAACTACTGAGCCTGCGCTCTAGAGCCCGTGTGCCACAACTGCTGAAGCCCACGCGCCTAGAGCCCGTGCTCTGCAACAAGAGAAGCCACTGCAACCAGAAGCCCGTGCACCACAACAAAGAGTACCCCCAGCTCACCCCGCAACTAGAGAAAGCCCGCACGCAGCAATGAAGATCCAACGCAGCCAAAAATAAAATAAATTTTAAAAATTAAAAAAAAAACTTTATATAAAAATGCTTTTGAAAAACAGCATCATCAAGTCTAAAACCAATAAAGGGTCAAAGTGTAATATTAACATCTATAAAGTAGATACAAGTTAGTTAAAAATCACAAAATTTTCCAGTTATATTTCTTTTAAGATGTACTTCACTTTTGAAACTATTCAAAAAACTACTTTTTACTGGAAGCATTTTATAATGCATTTCTCCAGACCCACGTCAGCGCACTCAGAGTGAAACAGTCTTATGCCGAGGGTTTTTAATAACCTTTCAGTAATACATCCTTAGGTAGGGCTTAAAGATCAAAGAAGACCTGTTAAAACCTGATTTACTTCAGACTGACTGTTATTACCCCAAGGCCCAAGAATTTTGTAATAGTAGCAAGCATTATGTTCCCCAGAAATCAGGTAGTTGCCAGAAAATACTTCAGATGTTTAAAAATACAAGCCAATTTTAATTTTTAAAAAATCTTTTCCTTTTGCTTTCCCTCAAACCAGAGACACTGCTTGCTCTGTTATTTGCTTTTTAGTAGATAAGTATATCAGTTGGCATTAGGATCCCCTCTGAGTAACAGAAAATAAGCAAATAACAAGGCCTTAAGGCAGACGTTTCTTTCTTTCTCACGTAGAATTCCAGAGAGTCAATCCGTGGTTGTCTTGGCAGCTTTTTGTTCCAGGAGCCCTCGGGGATCCTTGCCCCTTGCCGCTCTCCAGACTGCTGTCCCCTGGGTCTGGCTCACAGGCTCAATAGAACAAGATGATGGTCCAGCCAGCAGATTCACATTCCAGGCTGCAGAATGGAGGGAAAGGAAGAAGAAGCAAGGGATGCAGCCCAATTGCCTCATAGAGAAGGTTCCCAGAAACTGCGGAGTCCAAACTGTTGACCAGGACTTAGCCTCTGGCCACATAAACACGAAAGGGACTGGGAACCGTAGCCTTTGTACCGAGGGACAGTGGGCCTGGCTAAAAATCCCCTTCCCGGTGGAAAGGGGAGAACAGATCGTGGGGCACAACCAGACAGCATATGATAAGCAAATATCTAATGTCAAAATTTGGCGTGAATGACATTTTAGTGACTTTATTTTCTTTAAAACAATTCTGTTCAGAGATTCAATATATAAAGCCCTATTTTTTCATTGAATTTATGTCTTTAATGGACTTTAGGCAGAAACAGATTTCTCATGACCATTTGTCAGGGAACAAAATTAAGTGATGTGAAAAGCCTGATTTGATGCTTGAACTAATTAACTGTAAAATATTATCAAATTCATCAAGTATTCAAAAATGAATAAGATAATTTAAAATATTTATGTCAACCCTGAATTAGAATACAAACGAACTATATCAATAATATTTTCACTAATGTTTCAAGGTAGGGCAATTTTTATTAACTGACTTTCACTTCTGGGTTCGTAATTTTTCCATTTGATGAGTAGTGTTTTATTATTTTTATTAACTTAATTTTTTTTCTTCATTATAGTAAACAGACTCTAGTAAGAGACTAAGTAGGGCTTCCCTGGTGGCACAGTGGTTGAGGGTCCGCCTGCCGATGCAGGGGGCGCGCGTTCGTGCCCCGGTCCGGGAGGATCCCGCGTGCTGCGGAGCGGCTGGGCCCGTGAGCCATGGTCGCTGGGCCTGCGCATCCGGAGCCTGTGCTCCGCAGCGGGAGGGGCCACAGCAGTGAGAGGCCCGCGTACGGCAAAAAAAAAATCTAAGTAAATCCTCAGTGCTGCCTTGGAGTACATATTACCCTCAATTTTCATCTTTAGGTGGTTAAATGAATTTTTTTATTACAAAAGTAATTCTTTTCTGAGATACTAAAGAATCTTTTATTTTGCCCAAAATAGTAAATAAACATAAAAATATTGGAAAGGACCTGTAATAGGAAAGTTTGAAAGTATGATTTGTCATGAGTAGGTGTTAGGTGAAGGGAAAAATCTAGAAAAAATCCGTTACAATCAGAAAGTCAAAGGAAAGGAAGATATAAAATTGTTCTTTTATATAGTATAACACTAAGCCAGAAAGGTAATTTTACCTGCACGGTAGAGGTGTGTAAATAACCACCAGATGGTGAATTTCTAAGGTACTGAGGCCCTAAGGGTTAGAAATAAGCAAAAATGTCCCAAGTGAAAATATCCATCTGCCATTCACAATAGAAAAGTCAGCTGTGCCATTTCCATCTTATGCCACCAACTGCAAGGGCGCATCTTAGTCCAAACAACTTTTCCTTAGGAATGAATGTGATAGTTACAGCAATATTTCCCACACCTCTTGGAATTTAGTGTATCAGTGGAGAGCCATAGAAGTTCACAAGGTCTAACATATGCTCAGGTTGATGAAGTCGGTAAAAAATTCGTCTTGGAGAAGTTGAAACAGGATTGGATCAAATCTGGTTTATAGGGACAATGAATATTAAATTCTGTACATTGAAATGTTGAAGCACAGTCTGTTTCCTATACTGGTGATCATGGAGCAGGCAGTGTCTAATGAAAGTGAATTGGTGATGCTGCCTGTTTTTTATACAAACATCCAAAGTCAAGCATTCGTGAAATGAACCCTTAATGTGACGCCTGAAATTCAGGTGACAGTACATCATTACTAAAGACATATATATTGTTTGTAACAACATCAAAAGTATGTTCAATAATTTTATGTATTTTTTTCAAGAATTTTAGAAAAAGTACTACTATATTTTTTCTTTTAATTCACAGAACACTTCATAATAACTCTTCGAATCTTAGGGTTTTTCTAAACTGTTTTGGGAAAACACTGGGTTAAAGCCTAGAATGCAGAGACAGGCTGTTCCCAGTTGAGATTAGATTAGATCAAGAGCAAATAGACTTTTTGGAGGGACACACATTTTAACAATACTTGAAGATGAAAACATTTCCAATCCTAGTAATTAGATAGAGTACAGTTGAACTAGCAATTCTGAGAAATTCTCTGTAAGAACAGCTTACTGAGATTAAATGTGTACATCATATGAACTCAAGGGTTTCTTTCGTAGCCTACAACACCGTGAATAATTCTAGATGTTTCCAATTAGGGAAATTTCAGGTATGGGCTCTGTCATTACATTTGAATACAAAATTTTACACACGCACACACACACACACACCATGCAATCTGGCTTGATTTTTTTATGTGAGAATGAAATATAGAGTCATTTGCAGAAAAAGATTTCAGTTTTTTCCTGAATTAGAAGAAAGAGGGGGGAGGGGATAGCTATTTGTACTAATTGAGCACTGACACTTGCTTACATTTTTTGTGCCCTACATGTTACTGTCAATATTTTTTTAATGTTTTATTAGCGGTAGTTGATAAATTTGGTTTAAAAATCTGTTCCTACAAATAGGGCCATCACATTCAGTAGTGCAGGTTGTCTACTGCATACACATGCCGCATACAGTATGTAGGATATACAGTAGGCCGCACACATGCTGCATCCGAGTACCTGCGACCCAGACCATGTCCCCCTCGCCAAGAGTAAACTCAGTGTTTTCCTAGCAATTGTCCTTTCCCTAAGTCACAGCTTAGTCTGTTTAACCCAAACAAAATGGAGTAGCAATATGAAAGAATCAGCAGAACCAGATTTATGCAGTTTCCAAATCACGTTGTTCATCCTAACAAGTATAAAATTGTCAAGTTGATTTACATCATTACGGTTTTCTTCAAAAGTATAAGCTAACATGTGAACAATAATACCTATGTGATAGAAGCCACAGGGATGAAAGTCCCTAATGAATATGTAGTGTCCTGAGAAGTCAGGACCATTCCCAGGTGAGGTTAAAAGCAGCAAGGCATGGAAACAAGTCATTTGTTGGAGCACATTTGAAGACTGTCATGATCAGAGTAGCGGGTGCATGTAGGGACATAAGTTCACATCGTCCTTTCCTTTTTATTTAGCATTGATCTTCATGTTCCTAATAACCTGTTTCTTTTTCATGTTTCTGCCTCAAGCTTTTTCATTCTTGCTGTTCATTGCTGTCCTCTCCCTTCCTTTTTTCTTTTTCTTTTCTTAGAGAGGAGTCCTTCTGTCGTACAGTTCCTATTAGGACAGAAAGGATAAGAAGACAGAAAATTAAGTGGTAAAAATTCCAGGCGGTTGAAACAAAACAGACTTTATTAATGGAGTCAGTATGCATAGCCCTTAGCTACCATACTTATTCTAAATTGATTTTAGTGTGAAAGCCTTTAACTCAAATATAGAACTTTAAAATTTTTTTTAATTTGAGAGGTGAGCTCAGGGTCTTTCTACTTCACCATCTTGGTCGATCCCTAAAAAAATTTAATTTGAAAGCATGGACTATAAGGATCCTATAGTTAAAGAATGTTATTGAGAACAGATATCATTTTAATAGCGTTATTGAGAACAGAAATGATTTTAAAATATCATTTTAATAGCGTTGAGTTAGACTATTCCAACTGGGAATTCCCTGGTGGTCTAGTGGTTAGGACTTGGCACTTCCACTCTCGGGGGCCCGGGTTCAATCCCTGGTAAGGGAACTAAGATTCCTTAAGCTGCGCGGCATAGCCAGGAAAAAAAAAAAAAAAAGAACTGTTGCAGTTAACTGTAGCTTGATGGCCCAGTCTTAGTCTGAACCAAGTTTTACTTTTCAAACTACTTTTAGCTTGCTTACCTATGCTATGTTTTAATCAATTTTTAAAGTATTACTTATTTTTCCCCATCCTAAAAGATTATTTAATTTTCTAAGGAGACATTCCTTCAAGCTGTGTCCTCTTAAAATTACTATTTAGGCTTGAGTAGATGGCAAACAAGGTAATAAGCAGTATGTCTCGTGAACGTTTGACAGTTGATTTTGTTGTATTTTACTTTCAGAATCTTTTTGGCAGTAATAGTCTTGATGGAGGAAACAGCCCAATGATCAAGCCCAAAGGAGACAAACAAGTGGAATACCTAGATCTAGATTTAGATTCTGGGAAATCCACGCCACCACGTAAGGTAAGTGAAACCTCATTCTGTAAATACACTGAGCTCCCATTTGAAACCTGAAGAATCGGGTCTCCTTTGGGGGAATTTTCTTAGTATGTTTAATTTAAATTTAGTAAAGTCTATGACTTAATGCTTTTTCATAAATCACAAAAGTGTTAGACTGATAAATTTATTTTTTCATCTCTGATGGTATGGAAGTTACGCACTTTGTACTCTCTTAGTGATTACCATCGAAATGCTTACTTACTAAATTCTAAAGTTCCAAAGTTAATCATGGTCTTCACTCCCTTTCCGATGTTAGTTCAAATTACTCCTTTTCTGACTTGCTTTGTATTTTTGTCCAAAAGTTTTAGGGTTTTTGTTCTTGTTGTTGTTACACTCACAAATTAGACATTAGTAGTAGTAATATTCTTACTATATAGACAATGTTTATATACATTTTCCTACACGTTTACCAACTTCTTTTTTTATGATTCCTTCTTGTGTGTTAGACCTTCCTTCTCTAATCATTTTCCTTCCTCCTTCCTTTAGAAGTTCTTTTCATGGAAGTCTGTTAATGGTAAATTCTTGCAGTTTTTGTTTAACTGAAATGTCTTTATTTTGCCTCATTCTGGAAAATGAGTATGGAGGGTTTTGCGGGGGGAGCAGTTTGAGTTCACAATTCTTAATTGACAGTAAGTTTCTCTCAACACATAGGAGATACTATTTGCTGTCACCTGGCTTCCATTGTTCCTGTGAAAAGTATGCTGTCAGTCTAATTGCAGTTCCTTTGTAGGTAATCTGTCTTTTCTATCTGGCTGATGTTAAGATCTTTTCTATATCTTTGGTGTTCAGCAGGTTCACTACACTGTGTCTAGACATCGAGACATAGATTTTTCTTTATTTATCCTGCTTGGTAGAAGTTGTGCAGTCTTTATTTCTGGATTCATATTTGTCAGTTATGGAAAAGTCTGAATCATTATCTTCCTAAATATTGTTTTTCCACGATTCTCTTTCTTCTGTCCTTTTAGGTTTCTGATTAGACAGTTAGAACTTCTCATTCTGTTTTTCTTATCTTTTACCACTCTTTCATATTTTCTATTTTATCATTTCTTTGCTTACGTGTAAAATTTCTTTAGATCTGTCACCAAGTTCACTAATTTCTCAATTCTTCTGCTTAACCTATGTGTTCAATTTTTAATCTCAATATTTTATTTTTCACTGCTGAAGTGACATTCTGCTTGGCTTTTTTCCCCCAAATATGCCTATCTGATTTGAATAGCTTCTTACTCCTTTTTTGTTATCCTATTCCTTTTATTTTTTATTTTCCAATTCCTTTAAACATTTTATACACATATTTTATACTATTTATGCAGTAATTTCCATACCTGAAGTCCTTGGAGGTCTGAATCTGTGTTTACCGTTTCTCACACACCTGATGGCTTGTTTCCTTGTGTGTTCGTACATTTTTATTGTGAATTTATTTTGCTAAGCATGTCTGTGGGAAACCTGCAGACCTAAATTTCCTTCAGAAAGGATTTGCATTTGCTCCTGCTAGGAAGCAGGTGATGCTACCACCCTAGGACTACCTCAGTTTCCTTCAGGGGTCCCTATCCTAACAGGATAGTTTTGGGTTCCGCATTCCTCCCACCCAGGCCTCCTGATTGCACTGCTCAGTTGACGTTCATCCTGAAGACGACACCGTCTTGACCCTTTAGCAGCTCTCTGCTCCCTCCATTTCCCTCACACCTTGGATATTTCCCTTAATTTCTCGTGAGCCCAGCAACGCGTTAATAATTACATTTGTTTTAAGTTAGTGAGTATCTAGTTGGATTTTATGTAGCCTGCCATTCTTGAAATACTCCTTTTCAAAAAACACTTCTTAACTCTGAAAGTAAACACCTGTACCTGTTCTCAGGACTTGAAAAAGTCAAGCTTAAGCTAAAAGCAAGCTGTGTCTCTTAAGGTGAACCAGGGGGCTGCTCTCCTTCTTTTCTAAGAATTTCATCTGTTATGGGAGCATTAGTTTGAATTCTTAAGTATAATAATTTTAAAATTAAGGGGAAAACAGAGTACAGTTAGGAGAGAGACAACATTGTTAAACTGATTTTTTGGAGACCCAGTAGAATTTCAAGAGTTATTCACAGTGCATATGTGTCTGTGTCTTAAGACTGGAGTTCACGCAGAAGCACCACTTTTTCTGTGGAGGTTTATGGGGTTTTTTCCTTTGCTTTTTAGCAAAAGAGCAGTGGCTCAGGCAGCAGTGTAGCTGACGAGAGAGTGGACTATGTCGTGGTTGACCAACAGAAGACCCTGGCTCTGAAGAGCACCCGTGAAGCCTGGACCGATGGGAGACAGTCCACAGAGTCTGAAACGCCAGCCAAGAATGTGAAGTGAAAATGCCGCTTTAATGTCTCTGAACAAAAGAGGACTGAGCTGTAAGGAGAAATCCTGTTTGACTGAAGATAACTTGACCCTTGTACTCTAGGTAGATCCTCAGCTGAACAGAGTCGAAGTCAGAGGACCTTTCAGACTTAAGCCATTGAGCGTGTAAATGGTGCTTTGTGGTATCTGAACAATTCATCACATGTAAATAATGTGGGAAAATACTGTTGTTTGGTTCCCAGAGAAACATTTGTTTCGTAGTTAACACACTTGTAGTATTACTGTACTTATGCACTTTTTCATTTAAAACATTGGTTTGGGTATTCCCGAATGGACCTTAACGTGATTCTTTTGGGAGTCCTTGTTTTCCTCACACTACTCTTAAGAACGATGCTACGTGAACTAAGCTACTTTCCACTGGGAAACTGCTCTTTCAGCTGCAGGGTAACAACATGACGTGAGAAGTAGATGCACAACATACCTTTCTACCTGAAACTTAACGGGGTAACCGTTAGCTGAAACTACAAAGTAGAGTTGGACTCATCATTCATTGCCTTCCAAAGTGCTAAAGCATCATGTACCTACCGGTGTCAGGACTTCGTTCTCTGGTTCATGGACATTTGGTTCTCAGTGGTGGGACTTTCTTATATTTTGTTAATTACAGTGTTTTGGGCTCATTAAGTGAAGATTCTGCCAGGTGGGATCTCACACCTTGGAAAGAGTGAATAATCACACTGTCAAGTAAGCGTACAACTCACTGATGGCACGTGGTGACGACGTGCTCTCACATTTTCAGCATGTATTAAACGTTACGTTATTTGCAAAGTGTAGATTATATAACTAATCAGGTACGTACCAGGCACTGATGTGCTAATACAATGATCAGGTTTAGACAGTGAGCTTTAGTTGTATTCGTGTTAGTCCTCTAATGCTGGTTTCCAGTTTGGAATTAATGGCACAATTGACATTCACTGTTGGTTATAGCAACATACTGTGATTTTTAATTAGACAGTCATTCAGATTTATTACTCTTAAGAATGAAATTCTGTCTTTTGACACCATAGTGCCCTTTCTATGATTTTTTTTTTAAACTTTCCTTAATATTCTTCTTGGCCTTATCCTATTTAAATCCCTATGCAATTAATATTTTATATCTGCATTTTTTTTAAAAAATAGATGTTATATAAGTGATTCTCATATGTAGCACCTATTGCTTTTCCAGTAAAAGAATTAAGGCTTGTGTGCTGTGATTTATATTCACTGCCCCAATTCAAGAAATATTGGAGCCTTGCTATAATGTGAAATCTTAAAGTCATGGACCTCTTCCAACCAGATTTCTGAAACCACCAGAGGTATCGTGTAATTCTTTCTCACCTATAACATGGTCCTATAGCAAGACCACACATTATCTCTAGTAAGGCTACAATTTATCTGTCTTGGCTTTGCAATGTAATTTAGAAAGCAGGTATAGTTATTGGTTTGATTGGTTTTTAACTAAGTTACATACAATCTCTTATGTACTGATTTGAGACTTACTAACAGTGTTTGGAGGGGGCACAGAGATTGAAGAGCCCACAGCTGAGGCATGTTTCCCTCCATGCAGACCTTTAATGTTACCTGAGTACACAGATGTGCCCTGATTTCTGGCCCCTTGGTCACCGTACCGTGCCTAATCAATGTAATGGGTTTATGTCCCCTCCGTGAGCTAAAAACGTTCATAACAAGAGGAATTGTAGACAAGTAACATTTGATGCTTTTAAATGTTTGCTTCTTTTTAAACAAAAACTAAAACCCAGAACTGAATTTTGAGGTGGATGTTTAAATAAAAAAACATTGTTTGAGTTTGCTGTGAGTAAGCTGTTTTATAGTGAAACCACAAAATAGAGTCGAAAATCATTGAAATGTGCCCCAACTGTCAAAACACATAACGCAGTTGATGTGTGAAGATACCAAATTGTGTTGCATGGAGGATAAACATACTTTGAGATTTAGAACACAACAATAAATATATTGTTAATTCAAAAATAGAAATCTTGGGGGCGTCCCTGGTGGCGCAGTGGTTGAGCGTATGCAGGGGACATGGGTTCGTGCCCTGGTCCGGGAAGATCCCACGTGCCGCGGAGCGGCTGGGCCCGTGAGCCATGGCCGCTGAGCCTGCGCGTCCGGAGCCTGTGCTCCGCAACGGGAGAGGCCACAACAGTGAGAGGCCCGCGAACCGCAAAAAAAAAAAAGAAATCTCGTTTTAAAAGCTACCTATCAGAAGAGTCTAAGGCAATAATGAACTTTTTAGTGTAATTTCTCAATTTTTGCATGTTACCATTTTGAAGACCCGCAGCACTCAAATCTGTAGAAATTTTTCCATTACGCAGAGTAATTTAAGAATTGAAAATTAGGCAGTTTGTTAAACTAAATCACATTAAACATTGCATTAACAAATTAAATGAAAAGACAGTCTCTTATAGAGCGGTATTTCCCAAAGATTTTTTAGCACTAGAACCTCTTTTAAGTAAACTCTTGTGTAAGCCCAATATGTAAAGCCTGGAAAGTCCATTTGATCAGTGTAACTGTATTTTGAGTCCACATTTATGTTTACTTGTCTTAGAACATTACTAAGAATAACATTTCTAAGTAACACAAATGTGAAATTGGGGTTATAGATAGTTGGTGAAACCTTAGCCGCCAGTCTGTTTCTATGCCTTGTTTTATTCACATGCTATCAAGAGAATTTTGCTTCATGCAAATGTAAGTAAGTACAAATAATAATAGGGTTTAAACACACATTTCAGGAGATTCTTTAACTAGAAATAGATAAAGTTGTATTCCCAGGTTTATATAAACGTAAATTATCCTGGTAGTGGAAGTTTATACATAAGCAGACTCCAGTGTGGTAAAATAGTGTATGTAACACATTAGAATGTGCATTTTTACTAAGTTTTTAAACTACACACTTTTATAAAAACAAAATTTGAATCAAACTCTTTAATACCCCTAATTGCCCACAAGAAGCTGAGTTTTGGCCAGGCATGGGTTGAACACCACTGGTTACCTGTGTAACAGTTGTGTTATAAATCACAAGTTTTTTTCTCCCACATTTGACGCTCTCTACCTTTTATTCCTTATGTTGAGAAACTGTACAATTTTATGAAAGTTTGAATACCAGTGCGCAGCTCTGCTTTCAAAACTCAAAATTCAGACTTGAATAATGTAAGCTGTTTAACCCACAGGATGCATCACCTTAGAAAGCTATAAAAGTGGTTTTTATCTACACGCTATACGTTTTCATCTTTATTTTTATCAATACCATATAAGCTACTGTGAGCATTTTAGAGAATTCCGTAAAGGTACTATGAGTGTGTGTATGTATATATAGCATTGTATTTAATCATAGACTAAGTTTAATTTGATATAGAAATACTGCCATACTTGTACATTAATGTCATAAGTCATAATTCCCTCTGGACTCTTTATATTTAATTCATCAGAGGTCGTAATCTTCATAGTCATAAATGCATTCAAACTGGAAATCGAACACCAGTGTTTGTTTTTCTTTTTCTTTTAGTGGGAAGTTGTCTGCTTTCCCCCTTTAGCAAAAACAGTATTTTTTATATTTTGTTAAACTGTTGACTATTTTATGCCTGTACACTATACCATAGGCATAATTCTTAGATATTCCCAAACACTCTTAGTGCCTCCTTATTTGGCCCATTGAAAGTATTGGTGTTAGTATTTCGAATGAATTATCCTTTAAAAATATACTAGCCTTAAACATTTTAGAAACAACAAGGGGGACTGAATCTTTTTATTCCTATCTTTGGGTCATGTGGTAGGTCTTATCCTCCATTGTTAGATAAGCAGTCAGGTCTGTAACAGGATTGACATAACATGACCAAACCAAGTGGATACAGAGAGAGAGGGGGGGCATATCCCAGGATAACAGTTATTGTCAATAACGTCAGCTATATGTAAATCTGTATATAATTTAAAATACCAACAACTATGAGGTGAAAAAGCCATGGTGCAAATGAAATGTTGTAGACATCATGGACTTTGTTCTGATGAAAAATCACTTGTCGGGTTGTTGAGATGATTGGTTTTAATCTGACTAAATATGTTTATATATCACTACAGCTTGAAATAATTTAGTTCATCCTCCATAGACTTATCTTTCTTTAGGATCAGTATAACGCATATTGTGAGTTTCAACAGACTGTTTCGTCACGGGATTAACATAGCTTCTGGCTTCCTTTACTAAAAAGATATGGCTTTGTGTGAGTTCTTGTAACCTAAATCAATTGTTGATAATCATTCCAAATTTCCACAGCAAAATCTTATGTATAAACTTATTTCTCCCCTCTTGCACATCTTCTTTTGTAAAGATACCAAATAAAACTTTTCAAACAATTTGGTTTCAAGACCTTAAGTAGTCAATTTGGATACTGAAACTGTGACCCAATAAGGACATAAAACTTCTATTTCCAACTCTTCCTTAGAGTCTTTATCTAAATCAAAAACCCAATTCTGCCATTAACTACACTTCCCAGTTCTACTTCTATAGGGTCACTCATTTTCTGCAGTAAAGAGACCCAGTTGCCCTACGCGTATGCGCGTTATTCCTTCATGTAGCCAATGCTACCAGCACTTTGTTGAGTAAAAGGCCAATAAGTAAGGGCCTGTGTGCAACCTTCACCATCAGGAAATACATTCCCAACATGACTTGGGAAATGATAGCTGGCTGGGCTTCTTCATTTCTAGGAAAGTTTTCATACACCTCCAGTGCTTCATAAAACCCCAAGAATTACCATAAGTCACAGCATTTTGCAGCTCTGACTCTGTCATTAGATCATACTTGGGAAGTTTGGGAAGAAAATTAAGTTCCTAAAGTTTATTCCTATAATTCATTAGACAGGACTTTATTACTTTTAATCATGGTTATGTTGGTGATTCACTCGTAGCTCAACATGTCTCTGATTTTGTGTGTGGTGCCCAGAGCATTTGGAGGACTCAGTATGTGGTGGTACAGAAAAGAAAAAGTCACATAAATGTTTTAAAAGCCCACTTTCTCCAATATGGTATCATGATGGTTAATGTCTCAACTTGGCTAGGGTGTGGTGCCCGTGTGTTTGTTCAAACACTAGTGTAGACGTTGCTGTGAAGATACTGTGTAGATGTGATTAACATTACAATCCGTTTAGGTAAAGCCGATCACCCTCCATAGTGTGGATGGGCCTCATCCAATCAGTTGAAGGCCTTTAAAGCAAAAACTGAAGTTTCCCACAGAAGAAGGAATTCTGCCCCAAGACCGTAACATAGAAATCCTGTGTGAATTTCCGGGCTGCCAACCTGCCCTACAGATTTCAAACGTGCCGTCCCCATTTCCATAGATAGATGCACAGCATACATGGATAGATGGATGGATGGACAGATTCCTTCTCTGGGTCTACTCCCTATTCATTGTGGGAGGAGACATACAAGGACATGACTACCAGGAAGTAAGGATCGCTGGCAGCATCTTAAGAGGCTAGCTATCACAAAGGCAGAGTTGAGTGTTAAGAGATGACACTAAAGATGGAGGGCCTTAAGGACCAAGGAGCTCAAGTGTATTGAGAATTAAGAACTTTAAAATGTCAGAAGACAAATCCTGGAAAGAGTAGGCCACAGGAAGTCAGGAGATAGTGCTGAACCTGGGTCTATGAGTTTAGCTCTGAGTCCTTATAAATTACAAAGCTATGCAACAGTTAATTGAGACACTGTTTTATAGTTACTCTTAGTTAATCCTCGTAATACTGTGAAGTAGGTAATGTTATTCTCTCCAACCTTCAAGTTCCAACTTAAACAGTTCCACAAGGCTTTCCCTCAACTACCCCACCCAGAGGTGCTAGCTCCTTCCTCTAAAAGTCACAAAATTGGCAAGTCTCTTCTGTTTTTCACTTTGGGCTTTTGTGATGGTATATTAATTTGCTAGGGCTACAATCACAAAGCACCACAGACTGGGTGGCTTAAATAACAGATTTATGTTTTCACAGTTCTGGAGGCTAGAAGCTAGAGGTCAAGGTGTAGGCTGGTTTAATTTCTTCTGAAGCCTCTTTCCTCGGTTGGTAGATGGTCGCCTTCTCACTTTACCCTCACTTGGCCTTTTCTCTGGACATGGGAATCCTGGTGGCACATTCTCTTCTTATAAGGACAGCAGCCATATTGAATGAGACCCTCACCTTTATGACCCATTTAACCTTAATTTGCTCTTTAAAGGCCCCATCTCCAAAAGCAGTCATATTCTGAGGTACGGGGGGGTTGGGTCTTCAACATGAATTTTGGGTGGAACAATTCAGTCCATAATAGATGGCTGTGTTTAGCTCATCTACCTAGCTATATGCACCTTAGAATAAAAACTTATCTGTCTTATCTGTCATTATATCAGTCACAGCCCTGGCAGGAAAAGATGGCACATTCAAAGGAGTAATTGAAGAGAGTTGAATGAAGAAACTGTTGCAAATCTGTAGATTGGGTGAAGGGAACAAACAAGGGGTGGTTAAAAACCACTAGCAACAGTAAGAAGCCATCAGCACTTTTGGAACTAAGGAGGGAAATGGTGCTGTTACTGACACCCAGCAAGAGCTGTCCACCAGCAGACATTTCAGCCTTAGGTAAAAGGACGCAACCACTACCAATTGCAGACCAGCAGGGAGGGAGTCAGGTTACCCCTCCTATGACTTGCCATTGGCTAAAGACAACCAGCAGCCAGAAATAACCCAAGAGATGTAATATCAATACATGGAGGTCATCTTCTCAGGGCACATGGCAAGGCGGAGAAGGCAAGAGGGCAGGTCAGACAGAGCAAACAGAGAAAATCCTTCACAATCGTCATATTTATTACCGTGTCAAACCATCAAAGAAATAAGGGGTCTGTGGAAGATTGGCTTGCTTAACAGCTGATCCAAACTCTTTCTAGAGTGCCATCGTGTACTTCAGAAGCTGTAAGGATAAAAACTACATTTCCCAGACTTCCTTGCAGCTAGGGCCTGGCCCATCCTCCACTTTCCACCAGTCACATTCAAAGTCAGAAACAGTTCAGTGGAGCGGGAGGCGGAACTCTGCGAAGCATCAGTATTGTTAAATCAAGCCGTTCACTTTTAGTAGATGAAGCGATGGTTCCTGATCCTTGGTCGACAGCTAAGATGGCATATTCTTGGAGCCCACGTCTGTGGTGGCAGCTTCCTGCACCGTCATGGCGCCATGGGCACGTGATCCTGGATTCAGCCACTAGTGAGGTGATTTCTTGAACCCAGATTCCTGATTGTTTCCATGTCTGGCTCTTCTGTGGCATTGTTCTGAGAATCATTCCTAAAGGCCTATACACCTATTAGTGATTGTTAACTCTATAGTAAATTTCTTTTGGTTTAAAATTGCTAGAGTGGCTTACCCCTGTTGAAAACTGACACGGGCCAGTTTTCCTGCCTCTTGGACTCTGGAATATATTTTTTTCTTATTGTCATATTGCAAAACTGTATAACTAAAGAAAATTGGGGGATGGTGGGAGAGGAGGGGAAAAACACTTGCAATCTGTGTTACTTCCCTTTCTTTGCCTGCAAATGTGCAGATGGATTCTGCTTTTCGCATTTACTGCTGTCATAAATATCTTCCCAGGTGTTAAGCATCTATCTGAATTGTTATTTTAAAGACTGAATAATATCCCTTCAAATATTTTAAAATACTCAATGATATCCAATTTGGATACAGGTGTGGGGAAGGGAACACTGGCATATACAGTAAGTCCCCTACATACGAATGAGTTCCGTTCCGAGAGTGCATCTGTAAGTCCAATTTGTTCATAAGTCCAACAAAGTTAGCCTAGGTACCCAACTAACACAATCGGCTATGTAGTACTGTACTGTAATAGGTTTATAATACTTTTCACACAAATAATACATAAAAAACAAACACAAAAAATAAACATTTTTAATCTTACAGTACAGTACCTTGAAAAGTACAGCAGTACGTGGGACTTCCCTGGTGGTCCAGTGGTCAAGACTCCGCACTTCCACTGCAGGGGGCACGGGTTCGATCCCTGGTCAGGCAATGAAGAACCCACATGCTGCGTGGTGCAGACAAAAAATAATAAAAAATTTATAAAAAGAAGAGTACAGTAGTACAATACCACAGCTGGCATACAGGGGCTGACATCAAGTAAACAGGCAAGAAGAGTTACTGACTGGAGGAGGGAGAGGAGGTGGGAGAGGGTAGAGGTGAAGGATCGTCAGCAATAGGAGATGGAGGGCAAGCTGCAATTTCACTCACGCCTGACGATGATGGAACGCACGTTGGAATCTTTGAAAGTTTGCAACTTGAAGGTTCGTACGTAGGGGACTTACTATACTACCACTGGGAGCAAAAAGTGGTACAACATTTTTTTTAATATATTTATTCCGTGACTGTTTATTGAGAATCTACATCATGCCAAGTACTGTGCAAGGCTGAGTATTCAGAGATGAACAGACCCAGTCTTGTTCTCCATAATTCACAGCCTAGTGGTACAACTCTTTTTAAAGAGCAGTTTATTATTACAATTTTAATGTCTTGAAACTATACTTAACCATTAACCAAGCAACTGAATTTTAAGGAATTAACCCTAAAGAATTAATCAAATGTATGCACAATAATTTAAATTTATCTCCAAGGAGTTGGAAGTGTATTCAACAATGGAGGGTTGGTTAAATTGTGCATACATATGTATATAACCATTTATAATATAGAACAATAATTTTCAAGTGTGTTCCTCTAGCAAGAGAGACCTCTGAAACAAAAGGGAGGCCAAGTTTGGGAGGTCCAATGCCCTTTCACCTTGCTTTACTTAGGGTGTCTCTACTTCTTCTGTTTCCACATTGGAAGATAAGTGTAAGATTTTACTTGAAAGATAGGTTCTGCTAGTGGAAAACATCCTAACTGTTGTAATAAAAGTACATTTAATGTCATGAATGGTTTTTCCAAGATATACTGCTGTGTAAAAATTAAGACTATATAACTAAACATAGTATAATCCTATGTTTGTATGTAACTAATAGCACTAAAACAGCAGGATATCACTACAGATATTACAGACATTAAAATGATTAAAAAGATATTATGGACAACCTTAGGCAAATAAATTTGAAAATTTTATAAAATGAACAAATGGCTATTATAAAAAACTTACTACAACTGAGAAAAGAAAAGAAAATTTGAATAGTCCTATGTCACCTAAAATGAATTTTATAATTAAAAGCCTTTTTTACAAAGAGAATTCTGGGCTCAGACAAAATCTCCAATAAATATTACCAAACTTTTAAGAAAGAAATCATGCGAATCCTACAGGAGCTCAGGAATGCAAGGTAATACACCACATCAGTAAATTAAAGGGGAAAATATTATACAATCATTTCAATTAATGCAGAAAACTGGTTGATAGATTTCAACATCTATGTATGGTTTAAAAAACAAAATTCTTATCAACATGAAGTAAAAAACGAAACGTGTTACAAAGACAAGAATATCTATTTTAAAAATCCATCAGCAAACATCACACTTCATGGTTGTACTGGACTACTGTATTCTTCTTGTT